TACAAGACGGTACCTCTTAAAGGCACGTTCTTCAGTTTTAAAAGTTCATGGTGAAAAGTGTCTGGTCATATTCTAATGGAGTTTTTAAACTGAAATACATTAGGTTTTGAATATATACAGAACAAATTCTTTTGGATATTTTTGGCCTGCTGGGACGAAAACTGTTTGTAATTTTTAATGCAGAACTGTATGAGGCAATTATCGTTCTTAAAATATTGCCCTGTTAGTTTTATTTGTTGATTTACCAGAAATAGCTCGATTCTATAGCAAAAGTCAAAATTGTTTATGGCTAAACAAGCAATTCTTTAAACTTAAAACTTTGAAGAATACGGCCTTTAATGAGAAATATTCAGTATATGTTGGGAATCAGCTACATAGTGGTAAGTATATTAGAGGTGGTTCAAATGGAGAACGAGGCCGAATTTTTTCTTACTTAAAATAAGTATAGAACTGAAAGTAATGCAATCAATCATGATTCAAACAATTAAGTGTGTCGGAGGAAGTTATAATGATTATGATTCACCCCTCGGTTCCTTGAACTTAAATTTGCCAACAAAAGAGAAAATGTTGGGATCATTAATAACATTCTTAATTGTAAAAAAAGTTCCGTTTTGCATTCCAACATATTTCGAGATGAAAACTACACCATGCATTTCCTTCAGATATTCCCAAACTGTTGCTTGTAAACTTTTTAATTATAAGCAAACCCTACAGTGCCTTGATATTGAACATCTAAAACAAAATCCTCTGGAGTGTTCTTTCAAATACAGTCTCCCTGGTCTCGTCATTACCGGTTATGCTAATATAGTTGCAAGTGACAACCTAAAAGCAATCATCTTAAAAGGTTCTAAATATACAGGGAAGCTTTTAATTCTACGTCTGAAAATCCAACTTATACTCACAGTTCTATCATAACCGTGTCAACCTCATTCTGAATTCCAGTCTATGAACCTTCTAAATCTCAAACACCGGAATATTTGAGAGTCCCGAATGACACTGGGCCGATCATGCGTTTACTTGTAAACCCGAGACCTTATACTGGGCAAGTGAGAGGACAGTCCAAGCGGAACAACGCTTTCAATCCCTGAGCTTGGTCGGAAAGCCCCAAGTCAAATTTTTATTTATGCGAAATGACTCTTGGATATTAAAATTTGAGGACCTTCCTGACCAAAGCGTCTCAGGGTTTTGGGGATTGGCTCTGTAACCCAACCTGTATAAAATACAACAGGATACAGACACAATCTGGGCCACCACTCTTTATTTTTCTTTATTGAACAATCTATCTTAAATATTTATAATTACAATAGATAATGTCACAATACACAATATACTAACATTATAATAAACATTACTATTTATAATATTAAAAAATTTAACCTGTACATGAAATAAGCCATCCGAAAATACAATAATTTTACAAAACGAGCAAGTCTACAAAATTATCTTACCTGTATAGCGTATAAAATGCAACAGGAGACAGACACAATCTGATTCATCACTATAGACTGTGTCCGTCCCCGCCGCGTTTTGTTCGCCTGTCTACCCTCCGTATCTCACCATATTTGTTATTCCTTCAAAATTTGCAATAATGACTTTAAATTTCAATTTGAATTTTAGTTGAAATTATTCTGTCCTCCAACACTCTTCAATTCCCTAATACACTTTAAAAATCACATCCAATCTTTTGGAAGGTCATGTGTTCGAATCACGGCTGCAACTGATTTAAGTCGATAAAACATAGGTAGCAACTGTTCCTTCGCCAAGCGCTCGGCACTTTGAAGTGAAAGTTGCGAGACCGAGGCTCCGTGTCACGGTATTCTTTGACACGATAAAGAACCCCCACCCTTCTCAAATGCCCTGAGTGCCGAGTAAAGGTCTAATTTTGAAGCCCTTCACCAGTACCTGTATATGGTGTCGTCTCTATATGAGTAAAAAATTCTCGAACATACAATCAATCCAATTTTTTGAATAATCTTTAAATTCTCTCTGCCGTAGCGAATTTATACCAACAAATGACATCGGGTCACTTAAATACTATTGGTTGCTTCTTCATCCTAACCAAATATATCTTCTGTTAAACAAGTTACAACATGCGTATGCCAATGAATCATTTTCTTGGAAGCGCACAGGTGAAAAGTTCAAACCCTTGTGGCCAGCATCTATGTTTATTTTAATCTCAAGAGATCGCCTTCGTTATATCTCTTAGCCAAAGACACAAAAATATGTTATATTCTTATTTTATATAATTTTTGATATGATAGTTCACTTTCTAAAGATGAAATTTTTCAAAAATTACATTTCAGTCTTCAATACCTTTATCATTTAAGTCAACCAAGGTGAGTTTGATGTACCCGACCTAGACTGGATTCCTAAACTTCATTAAAAAAAACCTTACAAAAATAGATACATTGTAGGGTCTAGCAAATGCTCTACCAATCCCGTATCTTTATTCCTCACAAAAATATTAACTACTGTAAAGGAGAAACTTTAGACGTACTGTCTGCAGCATATTTTAAAAGTGGTGTAAATCAGATGTGAATTTTCAAAAAACTCCAAAGAACTTTAGGAAAATCCCAAATCACATTTTTTCAAAAGTCAGTAACATCAAAATGTATGACTGTTGTATATTTTATACAACCATTCCTCACAATAAATTAATCAAAAACTTGATTTTTGATATCATAGACAACTGCTTCTTCAAAAAAAACGGAACTCGGACATGTTTTTATATTTCTGTGAAGCAGAATTTATTGAAAAACCTCTACGTGAAAAGAAGAAAACACTTGTCGTGGACTTTAACTCGACATTTAGATATATCGACGACCTTTTATCCATTAACAATAGTTACTTCTATTCATGTCGACTCTATGTATCCCAATGAACTCAAAATAAAGTACACCTTAGATTCTGTCATATCTGTTTCATATTTGGATGTTTCACTGATTATAGACGATAAGGGCCAACTAACAACTAAACTGTATAACAAACGAGATAACCCTAATGAAAATTTCATAGTTAACTATAGTAAATACTTTGATACTTTGATTTAGTAGGGAACTTAAATCAAGAATATTTTTTTTTGAGAGTAAGATCCTCTATACTTCTAAAATTCTATTCCGAGTCGATATACATGTATAAATGGAAGTAGCTATTGTTAATTGATAAAACGTTGTCAATCTATCTGAATGTCCAGTTGAAAGCCATAGCGTGTGTGTTTTCTTCTCATGTAGAAGTTTTTGGAAAAAAATTCTGCTTCATAGGAATATAAAAACAGGTTGGCTAATAAAGGAGAACAATTAGTACCTATCGGAATAACTTAGTAAATGAGAGCACCTGCATGGTTATGATTCTGTTTAATTGGAAGCTAGTTTTTTTTATTTTCTGATTCTTAACGAAACACAATATACTGCTTTAAAGTTTTTTTAAATAGTCATGTTTTTCTATAGTTTCTTGTTTATTTCTTTTCTTCAAATTAATAACAGTCTAGTTTTGAAGGATTTCAATACTGCAAGAACAATAGATTGACATCACAGTAATGGTTAAATTTGTAATTTTATTTACATTTTACATTCAATTTATAATATTCATTCAATTTCACCCAACCACAAAATATTGACAAATTTTCTACACTTTATTTCCTCGCTTTAGTTTAAAGAAGTGCCATCTGACTTCTATTATAACTCCTCATCCTCTAAAATTCAAATGAAGGTTAATTTACATTTCAATTCAATTCAAAGAAATCTTAAAAAGTCAATATTTCATGTAAATTAGGGATGTCAAAATATTTATTTTCCTTAGTCGATTATTCGAACGATAGTCGAATATTCGGAACACTTTCTAAAAAAAAAAAAAAATATTTCAAACTTCACTGGTACATGACGTATCTATAATTCAAAAACCCTTTTACTTAAATATATTCAAAAAGTGTCATCAAAATTAATGCAACGTAACGCGCGGATACCATGATTATATGAAATAAATTTAGAAACCTAATTCTCAAAAATGTATGATTTCCCCGTCAATAGAAATCAGTAATCGGTCTGTACACGCAGTTAGTTTTTATTTTAGTAAGCATGTATTCATCAACATGTGTGTATATAATGCATAATATATAATAATTATTGAGAATTTTCTTGATAGACATCAACCATTCTTTCAATTTATATCACTTCTTCTAAGTATGGCATATAATAATATAGATTTTTCTAATGGCTCCAGTGGGAATTTTCATGTTATTAGTTTTTAAAGAGGATAGGCAAGAAATAGCATTAAACTATGCACATGCATGCTATGTAAATTGTCAAGGCCGTATCATTTGCAGTTACAGTTGAGAAAAGGTAAAGTTGGGACCAGGCCCGTTGAATGCGGGGGGGGGGGGGGGACTTTTTTCTGAGTATAGTATTTTGTTAGTAAATTTTAATTTAGATCAAAGCCTCATTAATATTGGAAATTTATACTGTTTTTTAAATTACATTTAAAGAAAAATGAAAGATTACGAGATGATCAAAAACTTACTATATTTATTTTTCGGGTTTCTGGCGAATAAGCATACTTGTATAAAATAATTTACCATAGTATAACAACTGCAGTGAAATTACAATAAAATTAAAACAATAACTACCAAACCGGAGAAAAAATATTTTAGAGAGAGGGAGAGAGAGAGAAATGGGGAAAATCTAGACTTTTTAAGTGATAAAAAAATCAAACAAAAAGGAGTTTATAAATGAGTTAATGAGTGAATAAATAAATAGATAAATAAATAAATATAAATAAATAAATAAATAAATAAATAAATAAATAAATAAATAAATAAATAAATAAAACTTGTACATTCAACGATATAACTTTGATTTAAAGTAATTGTTAAATCATATGATTAAAATGTATAGATATTTATGATGTTAAATACAAGTAAGGAAATCTTTGAGACCAATTTTCTTTTTCCAAACAATAACTGCTCCCTTGCATGACGTCAGGAACTTTTTAGCCACTCGCAAAGCTTTTCTTGAACCGTATCATCCGGGCACTGTTCACTAGGATTTAGCCGCGTGGGGAGGTCGCCATATTTACTGTAACGAAGGTGGGCTACATGTCACAAAAATATTTAAATACCAATTCAAATCAGCCTTGTTTCCAAATGTAATACATGTTATGATTAATTATGTTTAATTCCAGGCTTGTTGACGATTGACAATGGAGAATACTGAGGGTATTCCGTTGCGACGGCCGTTTGATCCAGCCGCTCACGAACTGGATGCGAGTTTCCGACTCACAAAATTTGCTGACCTGAAGGGATGAGGGTGTAAAGTCCCTCAAGAGGCCTTGGAGAAGCTTCTTGAGGGACTCCAACAGGACAGCAATGCCCAAGAGTCGGAGCAGTCGCAATTCCAGTACATGGCGGCCGCACCAAGAATTGGTAAGTTTATTAAAATAATTAAAATGCAACATTTTCTATAGCGACAATGTGTTGTGAAAAGTGTCAGTTCCGAAAGCTGTTTTCATCGATTGTGGACGTGACAAGCAGTTTTGATCCACTTGTCATATTGATGTTATATTTTCAATTGCAATTATACTTTAAAATGATGAAGGAATAACGAAAATATAAAAGTTTTTGGACTTTTCATTGAGACCCCTCTGGTTCTCAAGTTCTGAAAATGGCGGCTTTTCGAGCACTGAGATAGTCACGTGATGTATGGTTCCGGAATACTGCAGTATATAAACATGATTAAGATGTTTCTTTTCTTTTTTTAAAAATAAATATCTGTCTTTTTTCTTTGTTGTTTATTATTATTTTTATTTATTTATTTACAGTTCTGGAATCAAACTCTTTGGCCAGTTTGATAGTTTTTTTTAATGTTCATTATGTATTATGCAAAAGAAAAAAAATAATTAAATAATCCTTTTTTTTTTCAAGGCATTGGTATGGATGCATCAGTTACTCCCCTAAGACATGGTGGTTTGTCTTTGGTTCAAACAACAGATTTTTTCTACCCACTAGTGGACGATCCTTATATGATGGTTTGTAATTGGCGGTTTTTAAAATAGGGAGGGGAGAATAATGATACTAATTCTTGCAAAAACTTTTATTCACAATTTTTAGGAAATAAATGCATTGATTAAGGATTTACTGCAAAATGTGAAACTTCTCAATGGAGGGAAAAAAACACCTTGCAGGATTAAAAAAAAAACAAACAAACAAAAATGCTTGGAGAATTTTATTAATTTAATTAAGTCCAAGTCCTATAAAACCAAGGACTGTGAAGTAATGATAAACTCTTTACTAATAAAGTCTATTAAAGTAAAATGCTTTTATTTGTGCCACACTAGGGAAAGATTGCTTGTGCCAATGTGCTGAGTGATTTGTATGCTATGGGTGTGACGGACACTGACAACATGTTAATGCTGCTTGGTGTTAGTAACAAAATGACAGAAAAAGAGCGAGACATTGTGGTTCCCATGATGATGCGAGGCTTTAAGGTATACAGTTAAAGCATGTGTCAATTTTATATATTCTATACAGTAGTATTGTGTTGTATGAAAACATAGACTTGATTCTGGCAGTTCTGCTCTTTGTTTTCAAAAGCAGAATGTGTCTGAAATTTAAGAAATCTTTTTTAAAAAAAAGAAACAAAATTTCTGCAAATGACCTTATCACTTCGGTGTTGTCTTTGTAGGTTGAAAAAATTCATGCTGGTTTATATCTAGATGAATTTAAGGTTTTTGATTAGCAAACTACTGTGGAATCGTTAGATATCGCAATGGTTCAATATTCATGGAATAGTTTTAAATTTGTAAATATAAACATAATGATACACATGCTCACTCTCTATATATAAAACCATCGAAAGGAATAAAGATTAAATGCATTGATTATGTATCTATAAGTGTTCCACTTTCTGATGATCAATATGCTCTATGTCATGCAAGTACATTAAGTATGGGTGTTAATAACCAAACTACCATGTAAAGGGTTCATTTTCATTGTGAAAGTTTTTAGGTTGATTTGTGAATTCTCTGAGTTCTGGTCATCGTACAGTGATTTCATCACTTGCGTGTAGGTATTAGGGTAGGATACAGGGCTCTCAACTGTCTGTAATTGGGGCCAATCAAGGGCCCCATTACTAATTAAAAAAAGTACCTTTTTTCCCAAATGAATGTGTTTATTTTCCCAAGTCATTTCTCCCAAAAATTAAAGTATATATAGTTGGATATATAATATTTCTTTTCTTTTAATATCGACGTGTTGTTGCAATCAATTTTTAATTTCTTCTTGTGTATATTATTCTTTACTTGTATGCCCTGAGGGGCCCCAAATTTGTATCAATAAATCTTATAATACCTAAACTTGCTATATATATTTTTTTGTATTGCAAAACAAAAGTTTAGTTGATAACAAAGACCAGAAACCTAATATATCACAATTTCAAAGTATAATGGTTATCCCAAAATTTCCCAAAAGGTCGCTATTTTCCCAATCTTTATGGCCCAGGCCCCATTCCCAAAAAGTGGTCTGAGAGCCCTGTTCAATTCATCAATGAAGTTCCTCTCAACATTTCCTTGTAATCATAATTTACGGCCTAATTCCAATGGCTGAAGCTTATCTGTATATGTGACAGATACAAATAAAGGTTGTGTATATTGGTCCTTTATTCAATGAAAGAGTCTGTGGGATGATAACCTGATACATGAAATCATCCCTTTTGTAGACACAATTGAATATAAGTCCAGATTTGTATTAAATGGCAGACATGTATTTTTGTGAAATGTTCACAACATGTAAAATGTTATTAATTTTTAGCTCACCTCAACGAAGTTGGGGGAGCTTATGTAATAACATCGGTGTCAGCATCGGAGTCCCAGGTTAAAGTTTTTGGAGCAGATTTCTTTTCAAGTACTTCTATGCCCTATATCAATCAGCGGTGCATGGAGGATGCTTCTAGTGTGTTTCATTGTACCAGTCAAGGTTTCAGTTGCGCAATTTCAGCTGAAGAATGACAAGGTTAATGTTTTTGGAGCAGGTTTAAGTTTTTGGAGCAGATCTCATTTCCAAGTAACTAAAAGCCCTATATTGACCAAAATTGCATGGATGATACATGTAAGGATGCACACTACTGGACTTGCTTCAGATGCTGAATCTGACCTACAACTTTATGAGGCAGTATCTGATAGATAGAATCTATATGTGTATGTTCATTATGTTTTTAGCTCACCTGAGCTGAAAGCTCAAGTGAGCTTTTCTGATCACATTTTGTCCGGCGTCCGTCTGTCTGTCCGTCTGTCTGTCCGTCTGTCTGTCCGTCTGTCTGTCTGTCTGTAAACTTTTCACATTTTCGACTTCTTCTCAAGAACCACTGGGCCAATTTCAACCAAACTTGCCACAAAGTATCCTTGGGTAAAGGGGATTCAAGTTTGTTCAAATGAAGGGCCACGCCCTCTTTCAAGGGGAGATAATTAGGAATTACTGAAAAAATAATGGCATCGTTTAAAAATCTTCTTCTCAAGAACCATAGGGCCAGGAAAGATGAAACTCATGTGGAAGCATCCTTAGGTAGTGTACATTCAAGTTTGTTCAAATCATGACCCCCGGGGGTAGGGCGGGGCCGCAATGGAGGATCAAAGTTTTACATAGAAATATATAGGAAAAATCTTTAAAAATCTTCTTCTCAAGAACAGCAAAGCCATGATGAGTCATATTTATATGGAAGTATCCTCAGGTAGTGTAGATTCAAGTTTGTTCAAATCATGACCCCCGGGGGTAGGGTGGGGCCACAATGGAGGATCAAAGTTTTACATAGAAATATATAGGAAAAATCTTTAAAAATCTTCTTCTCAAGAACAGCAAAGCCATGACGAGTCATATTTATGTGGAAGCATCCTCAGGTAGTGTAGATTCAAATTTGTTCAAATCATGACCCCCGGGGGTAGGGCGGGGACGCAATGGAGGATCAAAGTTTTACATAGAAATATATAGGAAAAATCTTTAAAAATCTTCTTCTGAAGAACAGCAAAGCCATGATGAGTCATATTTATATGGAAGCAATCTCAGGTAGTGTAGATTCAAATTTGTTCAAACCATGGCCCCCGGGGGTAGGGCGGGGCTGCAATGGAGGATCAAAGTTTTACATAGAAATATATAGGAAAAATCTTTAAAAATCTTCTTCTGAAGAACAGCAAAGCCATGATGAGTCATATTTATATGGAAGCATCCTCAGGTAGTGTAGATTCAAGTTTGTTCAAATCATGACCCCCGGGGGTAGGGCGGGGCCACAATGGAGGATCAAAGTTTTACATAGAAATATATAAGAAAAATCTTTAAAAATCTTCTTCTCAAGAACAGTAAGGCCATGAAGAGTCATATTTATATGGAAGCAATCTCAGGTAGTGTAGATTCAAATTTGTTCAAATCATGACCCCCGGGGGTAGGGCGGGGCCACAATGGAGGATCAAAGTTTTACATAGAAATATATAGGAAAAATCTTTAAAAATCTTCTTCTCAAGAACAGTAAAGCCATGAAGAGTCATATTTATATGGAAGCATCCTCAGGTAGTGTAGATTCAAGTTTGTTCAAATCATGACCCCCAGGGTAGGGTGGGTCCAATGGGGGATCGAAAGTTTTACATAAGAACATATAGAATAAAAATTTCTTCTCAAGAACAGAAAAGCTATGTTAGTCTAATTGATATGGAAGCATCCTCAGGTAATGTAGATTCAAGTTTGTTCAAATGATGACCCCAGAGATAGGGAGGAGCTACAATGGGGGATCAAATTTTTACAAAGAAGGAAATGGGAAAATTCTTTTAAAATCTTCTCAAGGACAACAAATTCATTTGTTATATTGACATGGAAGCATCATCAGGTAGTTTAAAATTCAAGCCCCCCCCCCCCCCCCCCCCCCCCCCCCCGTTCATTACTGAACTGATTTGTGCCTTAGTCTAGCCAATGTGCTCAGGTGAGCGATGTGGCCCATGGGCCTCTTGTCTTTGTTGCCCAATACTTTGCCAATAAAGGTATGGTACAAAATTATCATAAAATTGTCAAAAGTTATTTAAATATTTAAAATTCTTACAGATAAGTTTATTAAGTTATAAATTTAAGGATATAGTGATTTCACAACTAAGGGAAATAACTCTTAAAAATTTGTCGAAATTTAAGGGGAAAAAACAGTTGGCTACATTGACAGCTTCCCACTTGATATTTTAGTTTTGGTTAATTTCCTGTAGATTTAAATTGTAAATATAAGGAAACGATGCATTATTTCTTATCTAATGCATATGTTTTTTATGTCCCCTTCGAAGAAGGAAGGGCATATTGCTTTGCTGCTGTCTATCGGTCTGTCTGTCTGTCTGTCCACCAACAGTTTCCATTCATTTTCTTGGCAGAGGTTGCACATACTGAAATGAAATTTGGTATACAGATTTATCATAAGAATATCTAGGTCAAGTTCTGTTTTGGGTATGATTGAGTAATTTTTGACAGAGTTATGCCCCTTGGACTTATAAAATTCCAATTATTTTGGTGGGGGGCATAAGTTTTTCACAAACATCTCTTGTTTCACTCTATGTGAACCTTGAACATTTAAATTGAAGTATTTTGGATTTTAGGACTTGACAGAGGAAGCAGGCAGTTCAGTGACTGGAGGTCAGACGGTCATTAACCCATGGATGACCATAGGGGGCGTGGCTACCACAGTCTGTCAGTCAAACGAGTTCATCATGTAAGTGACTAATGGTTTAGTGAACAGGACGCTGCATTCTTTTCCATGTCAACTTTTATAGAGAATCAAATATAAATTCTTCTCTGAATCATATTTGAAGAGTAGAGAAAAATTGGAAATATATTGCAATAAACTGACTGCTTATGACTTCAAGATGACATACTGTACGTGTACATAAATTAGTGTATTCAAAATTTAGCGCAGTCACTGGGTATGGAGTTGTTGGCGAAATCATGAATTAGAGCTATACATGTCAGTGCTGTATATTGTATTTATAAATGATTTCTTAGTGGTATTTCATGAATTTGTGCATCATTGTCTGCTCCAAAGCCGCTAAAATATGAAGCCCGCCTTTTTAAGTACTTGTACAGTATATTTTGAGGTCATTTGGACAGAGGTTGGAACTTTGTATCATTGTATTTGAATATAAAGATAATGAGAGTTGTATACTGCAGGCCTGACAATGCTGTTGTGGGTGATGTCCTGGTTTTGACTAAACCTCTGGGTACACAGGTGGCTGTGAATGCTTACCAGTGGTTAGATCAACCAGAGAGGTGGAACCGAGTGAAACTGGTTGTGACAGAAGATGATGTGAGGAAGGCATACCAGAGAGCCATGTTTAGCATGTCAAGACTCAACAGAACAGGTAACGTTTGTCCTGAGAACGGATTTGATCTATTTTAAAAGTATGTCTCGAATACTTTCTGAATGTACTGATACGTGATTATGTGTGGTACCCTTTGCAATCTCTGATTAATAAAATAGAATAAATACAGTGTGTGTGTGTGTGTGGTTGGTACTGTCAATGTAAATCTGGTACTAGCATTGTTGGGAGTTGTGCCCATATCTTTAGTGTTACAGATATCTTAAGTAAAAGCTCCCCTATCAAAATACTGTTATGGGATAGCACTCAGTGGCTATCCCACTTCTGACGCTAAAAATTTTATGGTGTAATGGGGGGGGGGATTTCTGACACTAAAAATTTTATGGTGTAGTGGGGGGGATTGTAAATTCCACCCTTGTAAATTCTAGTTTGATTCACCCAGGCAAATATTGATATAAATTGAACTTTAGCAAAGGAAAGTAGCTGTACCAAAATTACACTGAATGAGTATTAAAATTTTGCAGCTAATGGCAGTTTAACAAATAATTAAATTTAAAAATTCAGATAAAAATCTAGCCAAAATTAGAAAACATTTTATACAAGAACGTGGAAAGGCTGGAGTCCCCGTTGAACAACGGAACCACCAACAGGGATTGGACTCCATTCCAAAGTAACAGAATCCAATGAAAACTAAGGGTATACCCATTCAAAGAAAATGGATAACCTTAACAGAAAATTTTTCTACATCAGTAAAACTCCTATTACTTATTCAGTAATACTGAATTCAATAAACCTGTTTACAATCCAAATACAGATAAAATATTAATTTACATGTAATGTAGCCATTGCTTGTTCTAAGTCCAGTTGATATGCATTTATAAGTGATTTACAGTATTTAACATCATACATGTTGAATGCAATTGATCAGCAATTTGAATTTTAGTTTCAACACAAGAACTCGCTTAAACTCAATAATACACAGAAACATGACTAATTCTGATACTATTTATAGAAATATACAAGCATTATCATTATTTCTCATTTAAAAACAAACATAATACTTTAAATGCATACATGTGTTTTTACATGTGCAGTTAAAATTAGGGTTCAAAACATTAGGCCATTCCAAGTTTTTTTCTATGTTTATTGTCCGCGGGTGGATTGCTCGAGGTTATGAAATTAAAAACAAACATGAATTCATATTGACAAATACAAATCTTTGAAATGCAATTCAAGGATTTTTGAGATCAACATCTTTCTTTTATGTGATGTACCAATTTTTTTATTTCAATAAACTAGTAGTTTGAAGATGCGAGGAGAATTCTCAAATGTTGAGGAGAAATTCAAGAATTGTACTTGAAATATTGTGTTGGGTGGATGCTAAACAAAGAAAAACTTGGAAAGGCCTTACAGTACAGTGATGCACATTTATAGGGAAGTGCAAGGGGAAAACAATTTTGGTTGGGTATAAAAGTAATTTGCCATATCCTTATGTTTACTGTTACTGTAACTATGCAGTCAGTGTTTAAAAAATAATTCATTTTAAAGGTTTATGTAAAACAGATTCTGATGTTTTATCTGATTAGCTATTAGGATATTTAAAATAATAAAGTAATAAAAATACATTTTGAATATTGCTATGATTTTACATATTCTTGTATGGAACATGACATCTTTCTTGAACTGCTACAAAAGGACTGCTATCCTGGTGAATCGATGTGAATTTTATATACCTGATTAACTCTGCAAGCTAGCCATTCATGAATGAGCATTCAGTCTGCCTTATTCACCCATCTTCTTTGGTGTGGCATGCCTCCTTAATGTGGAGAGAGATAATAAAAAATACAAAAAAACTTGTTTCTTTATATAGGTGTCTGTTTGACTTGCTTCTTTATAAATATAGGTGCCCGTTTGACTTGCTTTTTTATAAATATAGGTGCCCGTTTGACTTGCTTCTTTATAAATATAGGTGCCCGTTTGACTTGCTTCTTTATAAATATAGGTGCCCGTTTGATGCACAAGTACAATGCCCATGGTGCTACAGATGTGACAGGATTTGGCTTACTGGGTCATGCTAAAAACCTGGCTAAGATTCAAAAGAACGAGGTCAGTTTTGTTATCCACAATCTCCCCATCATAGCCAAGATGGCCTCCATCAGTAAGGCATGTGGAAACATGTTTGGGCTGCTCCAGGGACACTCTGCAGAAACTTCAGGTATGTATCAGATTATGAACTGTATATCGGTTATTGATAAAAAAAATTTTGTATAACAAACTTAATATTGTCATTTATAAATGTATCTACATTAATAATCTTACTAAATGACTCATGTTTGAATTTCTGTCAAATTATCTGATCAGATGTTTAATATGTACAAATTCCTGTTTCTGTGAACAGCAAGTACATAATCAATATGTACAAAAATTAACATTTCCTTGCATTAACAATAATCCACCAACCTTCCCAAAACCTCGGGTATTATCCATGGTTATCTTTGTTTACCATGAGGAAAAAAGTCCAAGGAAGCAAGATGATTAGTTGATTAAAGTAACAAGTATTGCTTGTATTGATTCAGTTAAATTATAAAGCACAGATATTAGACGTATATGAAGACTTGTTGCAGAATCAAATTCCTGTTGATTTACATTTAGAGAATATTTGTCTTGGCTGAGTAAATCACCATAGCGCTAGCTTTCCTACATGGTAATTGCATCTGGAGAACACAAACCAGATAATTCAAAATATTGGAGAGAAAAAGAAGACTTAAGATTTTAATTAAGATTTTGTAGCTTTCACATTGTTCAGGAATTGTTTGTTGTGCAGAAGTATTATATCATTCAAGCAGGACAAGCATTATGGTTAGTATTTTCTTTCCAGGTGGGTTATTAATGGCATTACCAAGGGAACAAGCTGCAGCATTTTGTAAGGATATAGAAAAACAAGAGGGCTACCAGTCATGGATTATAGGCATTGTAGAGAAGGGCAACCGCACAGCCAGAATTATTGACAAACCTCGAGTGATAGAAGTGCCGGCTAAGGACAGAGATGGGGAACTATGGTAGTGTCTGAAAATCATAAAGACTAATAGTTTACTGAATTATATACTTGGATAACAGAAAATCTCTCTTGGAAACTAAATTTGCTTATATTTTAATTGAAATTAAAAAAAAAAGATTCATGAAATAAGGTTAAGCTAAACAATATCAGAAAACTGATTTTTTTTTTTTGTTGAAGTTTGAAACAAAATCAATGTTTTGTATGATTTTTTTTTTCTTTTGTGAAAAATTTTGTTTGAAATATATTGTTGACTTTGTTATTGTTTTTAAAGTTCACAATTCTCATTTCTCAATCATGATCGTAATTAATCTTGAAAAATTAATTGTAAAAAGATCAATTATGTTAAGCTGTACCTAGCTGGAGGGTTTAGCTTCATCATTGTCACTTAAACGCTTGTAAATATTCTGATCTTATTCATGAAGCTGTTTGAAGAAAAAAACAGATGTTTAATCAACAGTGGAATATTTCTTGTATAGAATTTAGAATTTTTACAAGTGTGAAGTGAAGAAATCATTTAAAAATTGTTCACTCCCATTCTTCATCCATTCATAATAAAAAGTTATCATTGTACTTGAGTGTTTTATTTAAAAGGAATTATGTTGAAGGAGATTTTCATTTTCTTGGAAAAGGAAAAGTCTATAACATAATGAGCAATTACTTGGAGGATATGGACGAATAACTATAATAGAGGTCATTTTTGAGTTGTTTGTAGTTCTCTGTTTTTAGCAGGACCAAGCTTGATTTATTATATTATATTTATGGATGAATCTACACCAAAGTTTTATTTAATGGATTTTTAAGGCATCTCTTTTGAAATATGGTTTCAGCATGGAGAAGTTGATATTAGCTCTTAATTATTTTATGATTTTTATGCCCCGCCTTGAATATGGCCGGGGCATATAGTGTTTGTCATGTCCGTCTTTCTGTCCTTCTGTCCTTCCATCTGTCCTTCCGTCACACTTTGCATTTAGCTCTGTTCAAAGCTCAGTTTCAAAGAAACTATCCAAGATATTTTTAGCAAATTCATATGCTGATAGATATGAGAGCTATGCAACTGCATTAACATTTTTTGACCTTGACCTTTCCTTTGACCTTGACCTCACTTTTCTTAAATTAGTGTTTTGCTCAGTTTTAAAGATACTATTCAAGATAGTGTTATCAAACTTCATATGCTGATACATACTGATGAGAGCTATTCAACTGCATCAATATTTTTTACCTTGAACTTTCCTTTGACCTTGACCTCACTTTTCTTAAATAAGTTTTTAGCTCAGTTTTATACCATTCAAGACAGTGTTATCAAACTTCATATGCTGATACATACTGATGAGAGCTATTCAACTGCATCAACATTTTTTGACCTTGACCTTTCTTTTGACCTTGACCTCACTTTTCTTAAATTAGTGTTTAGCTCAGTTTTAATGAAACCATTCAAGATATTTTTAACAAACTTCATATGCTGATACATACTGATGAGATCTATTCAACTGCATCAATATTTTTTACCTTGAACTTTCCTTTGACCTTGACCTCACTTTTCTTAAATAAGTTTTAGCTCAGTTTTAAAGATACCATTCAAGACAGTGTTATCAAACTTCATATGCTGATACATACTGATGAGAGCTATTCAACTGCATCAACATTTTTTGACCTTGACCTTTCCTTTGACCTTGACCTCACTTTTCTTAAATTAGTGTCAAACTTTATATGCTGATACATACTGATGAGAGCTATTCAACTGCATCAATATTTTTTGACTTTGACCTTTCCTTTGACCTTGACCTCACTTTTCTTTAATTAGTGTTAAGCTTAGTTTTAAAACCATTCATAATATTTTTATCAAACTTCATATGCTTTTACATACCGTTGTAACCTTTCAACTGCATAAACAATTTTTTTTTACCTTGACCTTTCATTTGACCTTGTCCTCACTTTTCTTAAATTTGTGTCAAACTTCATATGCTGATACATACTAATGTAAGCTATTCAACTGCATCAATATTTTTTCACCTTGACCTTTCCTTTGACCTTGACCTCACTTTTCTCAATTTGTGTTAAAATGTTGCATTACTAATATACCCTCGGCGGGGCATTCATGTCCTATGGACATATTTCTATTTTTTCTCTATTTTCTGCCAGAGAAAATGTTTAAAAAATTTTGTGTTTCAAATTTCCTATTAAAAAATGCACAATATAAACATCAAATACAACATGTCAAGCAAATTGGGATAGGCATTTGAATATTTGTAATAAAAAAAATATTTACCAAAATAAAACGCATTTTATTCTTAACATTTTTTAAAAATATAGGTGAAATCTTCAAGAATGAAATATATGGAGATAACGAACAGTATTCAAGCTCAAACGTCCATTAAACAATTGCAAAATAGGTGCAGAGCAAACACGGACCTCCAAAACATCAGAGGTGGGATCAGGTGCCATGGAGGAGTGAGCATCCCCTGCCGACCGGTCACACCCGTCGTGTGCTCCTTGTCATGATCGGGAAATAGCGGAAATCCGTCGACAATTCAGTGTGTAAACAATGGCCTAACAATTAGTATGAAAAACGTCAGTCAGCATTTGACTCGATGGTAAATTGTATTTGCTGACAAGGTCATTGTATCGACCATAGAACTTACGAAATGATGACTTTAAACGAGACTGCTGATATTCTTGTTTCATCAACTTGTATGTCAATAATTTACCTTTTTTACAAATCACAAGTCAAAAAGATATATACACAATCATATTTTAAAAAGAAATTAAGATGGTTAGAGCGCTTGCGCTAGAGTCGCGGAGGAAGGAGTTGATCTTTACGTCGCGGGTTCGAATCCCAGTGTGGGACGTGGAGACCGATCCTTCGGATAAGAACCATGACCACGATTCCTGTAGATTACACGCCAAATACTCCCATCTTTGATAAAGATAGCCTTTCAGTAGGAGTTGTTTCTCTTATCACATCGTCAATGAAGTTAGATGCAACATTCGTGAGAATCTATTTGGATCTCCTGAAAACAAAATTTGGGGAGAGGTTATGACAAAAGGGTCATCATGCACTAAGGGCATGGACTAGGAAGGGTTACATAACCAGGAAAGAAAAAATGTATGGCTAGACGGGGAATCAGACCCTGAACCCCTGCATCACTAGTCAGGTACTCTACCAATTGAGCTACCTAGGCCAATATCCACCGCTAAACCAGTACATTCCCCCTTTTTAAATTGACTTTCGATCGAAAATACAACCTAAGTTCTTTTTGCCCCTTGTAGAACTTTCACTTGCAAGTCACCTGCAAGGGTTAGTCAACGGCACCAATTATGCAACAGGAAAGGAGAAAATATACGTAGTCAGGTCCTGTACCAAATAAGGTAACTAGGCCGACATTCACGGCTCAAACCATTACAATACCATCATGTACAAACCTTAATTATATAATGCAGTAATGAATCCTAACACAGGTTACTTACAACCAGGGGGTTTTACCACCGACGGGTCGCCCGCATAGCGCAGTGGTTAGAGCGTCTGCTCTAGAGTAAGGAGCTGATCCTTACGTCGCGGGTTCGAATCCACTGCGGAGACCGGTCCCTCGGATGAGACTGTATAAAACGAGGTCCCGCGTGTCACAGTAGGTGAATCCTCACTGCTCATTGGGCCTGAGTGCCGAGTATAGGTCTATATGGCAATATAATTTTGTTGGCTAGCTCACAGTACCTCCTAGTTTTTCTTCTTTGGTTGTGCAATGTTGTAATTCCATCAAATTAAAAAAAAAACAGAATTAAACGTTAACTTGATCTTTAACTCATCAGCATAACTCGCATACCAAAAATTAACTCAATATCTAGAAACGTTTAGAAAAAAAGTGCGGAAAACAACGGTGGCACAAACTGACAGACGAGGAAAAAACCTATAGAACTCGCCGGTCTCACCGATATAATGAATGGAAATGATGTTTTCTTTGAAGACGGCCGTTTCTTGAAGTTTACACCCACGTTTCTACTGAATGCGAGAGCGAGTGTTACTTTTTCCTTTTTTGTCACTCTCAATGCATTACTAGTATTCATTTTTTGACTCCGTCACGAGTTCTGAATCGATACCCTTTTAACCTCTCGATACACTCTCCTACTCGTGACAAATAGAAAAAGTTAACAAAATAGAGGTCCCTCTGACTAAAGAGTATGCAGATACTCCATGACACTTTTTATAGTCAGGTGTTGCAACCACTATTGAAATAACGACCGTCAGGACTTTACCGTTTGAAAGGAACTTAAAATGGATTTGTTAAACTGTCATAGTAAACAGTGATGCGTCTGTGACGGTAAATGTAGTCGTTCTGTACATAATGTCGCCGGCGACAATATGTACCTACTTACTTTACATATTGTCGTTCATCTGTATATACAGTGAAATTTCTCTAATCCGGATGTTGTGTATTCCGAAATCTTGCCTTACACGGTGTAAACTTTAAATCCCTTCCACTGAATTTAATTGTCAAAAATGTCTTATCTGGAATGGTGTCTTATCCGGCCAATTTTTTTTTTCGGGGGGGGGGGGGGGGGGGCGGCAGTGGTGTCCGGATTAAACAGGTATTGACAAGGGCGACAATATGTGCCGAGATGAGTCTTTTCTTCTAGCAGAAAGAGCGACAACATATACCTTTCATGTTGGCATATATTTTGGTCGACGGCAATGAATGCTGCGAACATTTGCATATTTTGTCGCCAAAAGTATTGTTTGAAGAATGTCATACTAAGGTGGATAGGAAGAGAGTGTTATCCTTGGTATTTTTACTAAAATATGTATCATGTTAATTGCAACATTCCCTCTTCACTGTGCAACTTCGCATTTAAATTGAAGCATTTTATTGCAACAGCTTCGCTAGAGTTGAAAATGACAACTTTGTGGTTAAAACATTGATTTTTCTTGTAGTGAATACCCATCCCATCTCATGAAAACTGCAAATGCAATTTTCGATTTGAATACCATTTTTGTGTAAACCCACACATGTCAATATACGCAGAGAAACTCAAAACTATCGCGCTATATATCGCGCTTCGTGCCACAAAACAACAATATGTACCGTCACGCATCCTTTTTGAGATGCACCAAGGTCTTTTATAGCTTGCGAGGACTTGACAATGAACAATAGACAGTTAGGTTGCACTCATCAGACATATCTCCTATATCAGTCGAACTTATTGTTTGGTTGTTGGTGGAAGAACTCAAATGTAGTCATGTGGTAGTTGCTAATAACTTAATGTAGTTTTATCGGCTATAATTTTTGAGATGTTTTTTACTCATCTAGTTAAGTAAAGTTTTTTTCACTTGAACTTTAATCAAGGTACATTGTAATTTAAAAAAGAGAGGGCAGGGGCCATTACGAATGGCCCTGCTGTTCTTCATCAGCAGATTTTTCCCCCATGTATTTCTATCTAAAACTTTGATTACCTGTTATATTCCAATCCTGCTACAAGGGAGCATGGTTTGAACAAATTTATTTGAAGCTATACTATCTGAGAATCATGCTTCAATACTTGTATGACTAATCATGGTTTTGCTGTCCTTGAGAAGATTTTTGCCAATATATTCCTTTGTAAAATTTTTATCAACTATGTAGCCCCACAGGGACCATGATTTGAACAAACTTAAAGTTTGATCGGCCATTGTGGTCCCAAGTTCTTCTTGTTACCAGGAGTGATCAACGGCACCATATTATGTAGCAGAAAGGTGAAAATGTATGGCTGGACCGAGAATCGAACCCTGGACCATTGCATCACTGTATAGTCAGGTGTTCTAACCACCGAACTATCCTGACCTGTTTAACTTTGGACATCTATTACAACTATTAAATGAAATATTTGGAATCAAAGTTGAAATATGATTATCTGTTGTAGCTGCAGAACTGTTGCTCTCCGAAATTAAATATTGACAAACCGGAAAACTACATTGCCACCCATAAAGAAAATATATATCTTTTGAAAACCAAAACTGCGCACGAGTCTTGATTTATTTCTCCAAATTCTTACCTCAGCTGCAAGGTCTGTCAATATTTTTTTTTTAGAGCTATAGTTCTGCAGTTACATCTGTTATTGCTGTTAATTGAAATGTTTGGAATCTTTTAAAGGTGAATATAGTCCTCTGTTACTGCTATCTAATAAAGGTTTGGAAGCTTTTAAGAAGGCTGGGTTATCAACTGTATTTACCCAACAGTTCCACTTTAAAATATGAAAAATATAATTTTTCTAGACAAACTATTACATGTGTATTTAGTAAACAAAAACCCGAATGTTAAAGCTAAAATATTTAATGCAATTTCCTATATATTTTTATACACAGCTCTTTTTTTCCCTTAAGGGTTGAATAATCTGAAAATAGCCAAGACCATGCACCCAGCCCACTTAAGACTAAATTACAGTTCTCTATTATTAAAATCAAATATTTGGAATCTTTGAAAGGTGAGCTACGTTTCTTTATTATTGCCACTAAATGAGTTGTTTGGAATATTCTATACTTGAACTACAGTGCTCTATAACTAAAATGAAATGGTTAAAAATGCTTTTAAAAATCCAATTCCATTTTATCTAAAGCGCCGTTGTAAATATTAGCGTCAAAATTATTGGTGTATTTTGTGGGATTCATTAAAAAAATTGTATATAGCATTTAAAAGGGGAAATCTGGAGGTATGGGTTCAGATGGGGGCATTAATCTTATATTAATTCAAATCATTCTCTGTCAATGTGAGCTTTGCAAAGATTTGTTGAGGTGAGAAGGATATGTTTTGCTTCAGTAATGCTCTCAGTTTTTATGGGGGTGTTAATGCGTCATCTTTGATGCCCAATACATTCATTGGCCTTTCAAGTTACTTGATATGTATAGGTGAAGTTCTGCCGAACTCCGCTTACCCGGGCTCTGTGTTTTACATACAACATGGATAATAACGTTTCAGGAACATGTAATTAGAAAACTTTAATTAAGAAAATATTTGTGACAAAATACATGTAAATACCACGTCAAATTGCATAAGTCCTACATACAAAAGGAACTATCCTTGTTCTTCAAAACAATGAAATTGTATTAAAAATCACTCAGAAAAGTTTATATTATTGTTAATAATAAATACACACTACCTCTCTATAAAGCATACTCTTTGCATTTAATGCAAAAGAGCAACTATCTTACCCCATAACTCACAGTATTGCACACACACACACCATCACACACACGCACACACAACATAACTTACATTGTACAAACACAAACTTACACCATAATTCCCTGATAACATGTTCCACACATACAAACTTACAACATCATTAATTTATACCATCGCTCTCACGCACTCAAACTTACAACGTAATTAACTTGCAGTTTAAATTACATAGTACATACAAACTTACACACAATAGCATTTCTGTGCCCACGCACTTACTCATAGCATATGTAATTAACTTACAGTATTTCACTGAAACACAAACTTACAATATTATTAATTTTCAATATCCCACTTAAACACCGACTCACAACATAACTAACTTACAGTACTGCACTCACATACATACCCAAGACATAACTTACTGAAGTATTGCACTCACAAACTTACAATATACAAGTAAATAACTTAAAATATTGCACTCACACACAATCTAATAATATAATTAGCTTATAGTGTTGCAATCACTAACAAACTTACAATCTAATTAACTTACAGTATTTCACACACAAATTAAACTCTTTTCGGGAGGGGGCGGGGGGGGGGGGGTAAAGCTTATTGTATCTCTTCCCAACAAGTGAAGACATATTGGTTTTGGCATAGTTGTCTGTCTATTGTAAGCAAAAAACAACATTTAACATTTTAGATATATCCCACTGAGCTTGAAATAAAAGATACAACAGAGTCTGACACATCTGTTTCATATTTGGATATTTTATTAGAAAAAGACGTTAATGGTAACCTAACAACTAAGCTTTATGATAAACGAGATGACTTTAACTTTTCAATCGTCAACTTCCCTTACTTATGCAGCAATATACCATTATCACCTGCATACGGGGTTTATGTCTCTCAGCTGATTCGATACGGAAGAGCATGCTCCACGTATGAACAATATCTAAAACGAGGTAAGTTATTGACAAACAAGCTGATGAAACAAGAATATCAACAGTCTCGTTTAAAGTCATCATTTCGTAAGTTCTATGGTCGATACAATGACCTCGTCAGCAAATACAATTTATCATTGAGTGCTGACTAACGTTTTTCATGCTAATTGTTAGGCCATTACTAACACTAAATTGTCTATAAACGAGTGATTTGATATATTTCAATCGGGGGTTCCGTTTTGGATTTAAAAGGATTTGAATCATAACTCCAACAGAAATTGTCCAGAATCATTTGCTTTTGAGCCATTATATTGAGTCAAAGTCATGACCTTGAGTCAGGATCAAGATACGCCTTTACGTTATGAACAACATTCCATTCCCATCAAGGATTTGGACAACAATCCATTTCCATCAAGGATTCGAACAACTATCATTTCCCATCAAGGATTCAAGAATTAAGATCCGCAACTGAATCTTAGAAAAATAAAGAAGATAAATATAATTACTTGTTTCATGGCCGTAGGAACCGGGGGGGGGGGGGCATGGGGGGCCCGTGTCTTCCCCCAATAATTTTGCCAATATATAGAATACTATAGAAAACTTAGCTACTATATGCTTGTGCCCCCTCAATAAAAATGGCTGATGACTTTTTTTTTTTGCTTGTCAAGGAATTTTGGTAGTTGATAGTACCCCCAACAGAAAATGTTTGGCTGTGCCCCCCCCCCCAACTGAAATTGCTTCCTACGTGCCTGTGTTTGGAAGATTTTAACAAGATCTTGGAAGGGGAAGGATAAAACTGTCAACATTATGTACCAGAAATGTTCAATATTAAAAGTTCGTATTGCATCGTATTGTTATTCAAGTAAAACGATCCCAACATGCAAAACTAAAAAATTGATTGTGTATCTTATCATTTTTTTCCCATCTATATTTAATTCAGAAAAAAATGTGGGTTCCCATGTAAGCATATGGATTTCTTGTTCCTGGGTGCATTAAGTTACATTGATCTAAGCAGCGAGTATTCCATTTAATTAACGTAGCAGTATTATGAGTTACCCCCCCCCCCTCTTGACAGTTTTTTTTTTCATCCCCGCCGCGAACAGTTTCACGATGCCATTAATAAATTGATCACTCATGTTACTGGAGTGTTTGCTTATGTTATGCATTGGGAATTTCCTTTTCCGGGTAAAAATTAGAAAATGTTTATTCAAACTTAGAAAATCTGTAAGATCTGCTTGTAAAAGTTTTGATTTCTCTTGATCAAAATGTTGGATCATGGTTAAGATATAAATTGAAAAATATTAATGGTATAAATCCCACTTTTAAGTAGAATGCGTTAAATATCATTACTGGAGCACTTCAAGCCTATAAGTTGACTATTGTGATCGAGAAATGAAGGTCACCGGAAATACTACGTTCCTGAAATTGATCTGTAAATGGTATCCATGTAAACACCCCCCTCCCCCATCTAACACCTATTTCCTGGTCTAAGAGGATAAATGAAATCTACGATATCAACCTACTTCTAAATCTAACTTCCTAAAAGCATAATGAAATTCTATACAATTACTTCCGTGTATAATAACTTCACTGAAAAAACCCCCCCCAGAAAAACTCGAAACATTCCTTTCCACTTCTGAAAAATTCTAGTATACAGAGGAAATAATATCACAGTATCAATTAACTTGCGTAGATATCAACTGCTCTATATAAACCGTATGTTAAAAAATACCGAATTAATGCTACTTAAGCGAATACAAATTAACCTGCAGCAATTGTGCAAAGCGATGCATTTCATTTTCGCAATTGAATTCAGTTACGTTCCAACACAGAGCTATCCATACAAGGATATAAAAATCAACTATATTTCAAAACAACGTAGAAAAATTCAAGGTAACCAGCAACAATCAATTGAAAAAAATAAAAACAAAATTCTTCAGGCAATCAAAAATTGAAAATTTGCGAAAATGCAATGCGTTATTTCTGAACACTTTAAAATGGAAATAATCCTTTCAATAAATCAATTATAGTTGCTATCCAGTAATAATCTACAAATCGACAGGTGGCTGACGGGTCGTTCAATTCACGCCACATTCTGACCATTTCCTCTGGGTAGTAATGATGGCCGACTATGAAGTCCCTAAAGGAGACCCCACATGGGCCCCTGTCTCGGTAACTACAGGAAAAGTCTTTATGGCCGACAACTTTCGCTCCGATTTTTTCTCTGCAAAGTCCTGCTACAAAAATATCTTCAATGAAAAAATAAGGGATATCAAATGAAGCGTGGTATAATTTGGATATGATATCTCCTGTGATGAGATAGGCGGGTCCTGTTATATAAACAGGATAGGTGTCAGCACTGTATTGCTCTCTAGTCACGTGCCATTTGAATAAAAAGAATCTCACAGGTGCATTTTTGCTCTCCTCGCATCCAATTATGGAATTTTTTGGATTCCATTTTTCAAGTTCTACCATAAGCTTACGTATATTGAAGAATATGTCATCGTCAACCTTTATAAGGTATTTCGTTTTGCTACAATGGGTATGTGCCCATTTTAAAATTGCTATAGATTTATAAGTCAATTTATCGTATGCTTCGGTTACATTTGTATCTAAAATGTCGTTGAAGACAGCTTTCTCAAGATTGATACTTTCTCTAACAATTGGATCTTGAGTTTTGCCAATCACGAATATTAATCGAACACTTTTGTCTATCTTTGACACGGAACCCCATGATTCTCGTATTGCATTGCGGTGTTTGAAATTAGTAATTTCGCTGTTAACCATAACCAACATAAAAACAGACTGTCCGTCTTCCTCACAAGGTTCCAAGGGCGACAATGATTCTTTGAACTTTTCTTTGAGTAAGGCCTTCTTTATATCGTTGTTTGACCACGTGAACACAATTTGTTTTGTATTTGAGTTGATGGATTTCTGCATTAGGAACAGTGACGTCACAATAAAAAAACCTGTCAGTTTCCATAATGTCGAAATCTTTACTTCTCGGATATGGCAATACCTGGTTTTCAATCTTCTTATGAAGGAATTAATAGATGGAAACATCTGCAATAAATAAATAAACAAATAAATACTGCAGTAAATCCTTAAAATAAAACAATCACATGCATAAGTTAAATATGTAAATTCAATACATTTTCCAATTCAGTTGAAGTACAAACTTCATAAGCCGTATTACATAATTATATATATTTATGCTTCCTCTTTCCAGCAAAAATTAAATGAACAGTAACCTAGAAAACTAAAACTTAACACATGTATGTGTTGAAATTGTTGTTTATTAAGGCTTGATAGACTCCCAGTGGGGAAAAATTGCGGAGGCCCTTGAAAGGGCTTACAATTACAACTAAATTACTATATATGTTGAACATAACACAAATATGAAACACAACTTGCAATATTAAGTCATTCGTCAGCATAAAACTATTTACTGTCATAAATGAGATATATATATATATATATATATATATATATATATATATATATATATATATATATATATATATATATATATATATATATATATATATATATATATATTACATTATATTATATACATTATATATAATAATTTATACATTATGTCACATATAAATATCACATACCATAAGATTTGTCGATTGTTTTAACTTATTCCAAGTGAAAGAAAAATCAAGATGGCTTTGTTTATCAGAAAAGATGAGTGATTTCTACTCTGAAATCCCGGGCACAAGGGAAAATTATGATACAGATCACAAACTATTTATACCGGACAAAGGCAAAACGAGGACATTCAAACGGGAAATCATTCATTAAACAATGAGCATTGTATGCCGTACAGAAAACAATAAATAGTTCCCCATTATTAGTTGTTAAACTTTAAACCGTACATCTACATAGTGCACAGTGTCTGGGTTTTAATTTGATTCGGTAGTTTTTTTTAATTAATACTCGTCACCTAGCAAACTTGATTGATTGATTGATTGTATGTTGTTTTACGTCCCGTTCGAGAATTCAAGCACACTTGTATGTTTAATACGGAGCTATTGAGAATGTATCAGTATTGAGTATAGGCCTTAAAGTTTTAGAATATACACATTTCAATTTTAAAACTAAATATAAAAATTTCAATTTGATTAAGCTATAGTTTCTGAATAATTTTTGTTTTCACAGAGAAAAAAAACGGATGCCGATCAGGCTATCTTAAAATAATGTTTGTTTGCCCTCTTTCGATTCAGGGTAAATTATTTGGGTTGGTAGGTAGGTGGAATTTTTTTTCCCTAGAAAATTTCAACATACATGTTGACGAAATGAGAAAATTCAGGAATCGATTGGGAGCGTTTTTTAAAGATGGTCCCACGGTGATAATATGCTGCTTCCTGGTCATCTCCCTGAACACACTCTAATATAATGTAAAAAATAACTGGGGAATATCACGATGTATTGACTGATTAAGACACACGTTTTTTTTCCATGCTGCAAGATATGTAAGCTCCGTTATATAAAGTCCATTAACTATTAATAGATTCGCTTTAAAAGAATATCTTGACGGTGCTTCTCAATGTGTAGTTCTTCGTCTAAGCCACTTAAGTGGAAATTGAACATAAATAGAAACAAGGAAACACAACATGATATTGTTTAAAAAAAAGATGCATTGGGTAATATATGTTGTTTATTTACCAATTCTTTTATAAATACACACATAACTAAATATAAGCACAATTGTAGATTATCGTACCACATGCTTATTTCCCCCGTTGTGACTTCAGGAAGTGCCTATACTGATCAAAGTTCACACTGTGGTATCCTCAATAAAATTCATCGTTTCAATTTGAAAAAAAAAATGTCACCACGGTTAAAAAAGCTCCCTAGAATAGAATCTAAACGTTTCTCTTCTTTTAACTGAAAGAGGGTGTTTATGATGGCCCATATATTAGCAGCAATATCTAACTAGGGTACATCAATTAGAATAAAGTCAATTTCAAGCGCTCATCAATTTAAAACATACAGACAGCTTGTAACTTTTGTGAATTTTAAATGCATGACATTTGGATGACTAAAATTTGTCTATTCAGCACTTATGTTATCTCAAGAAATTAAAAATTACCAAATTTTTCTAATCAATTGAAAAATAAGGCTTAAGTTGAAACAACCTTAAAACACAAAAATATGCAGTACAGGTAAATTTAGTACATTTACCTGTCAACTAGACAACGCTTGTTATGAACCAAATAACGAAGAATTTATTTACCTATTTTGATGTAAACAAAAGATTTAAATTAAAAAGGAAGACACTTACTCTGATGTGATTGATTACAACAGTTCATATAAACAATTCAGGTTTGTAGCACGATCAACCATCGCTCTACAACTCCCTACCACATTCGTTATAAAGTCAAGGGCATGAAAGTAATGTACGCGATAATTAACGCAAAATTAATTAATCCGTTCTTAGTGAAAGTCTGTTAGGTAAATAACTGAAGGAAAACGGAAACAAGAGGACCACGAGCTACAAAGCTCACAAGAGACAAATTTACTTCCCAATAATAAATATATAGAGAACAAAAATATCCTTTTTAACAATCAAATGTTATACAATGATTGCTGTTTTTCCAGTCAATTCGATGATTTAGCCATCTTCGAAGTACATTATTCACCGAGCCGAGGTGAATATTGTACTTCGAAGGTGGCTAAATCGTGGCTAAATCATCGTATTGACTAAAAAAAAAATCAATAATTGTTTTATTATATGATTCAATAATCAAATAATACGAACTCATTAATTATTAAGCAGTTCATGCCATCTTACTTGTTTACATTTGCTGAAGTCCTAGCTAAATGCAATGAGAGAAGCGGGGTTAAATAAACAATCGTATTGATTTGGAATTTTTAAAATCTACTTTAGTTGCAATGAAAAAAGAAAGAAATTATATCAGGCTCTTTTAGAGAATAGATTTTGAAGGGGGGGGGGGGCTTATCGGGGAAAATGACAGTCGAAAAAAATCTTTGATTAGCCCCCAAGAAAAGAGAATTCTTTCAACTTCAAATGTTGTTTTAGGGTATAGGGTGGGGTTAAGGGTGGGGGTTAAGGTCCATTAGTGGGGGACCAGTCTTTCAATGAATATTTTTAGTCTTTATTAAAAGTAAAATTTCACTTTCAGAAAAAAATGTTTTTGGGGGGATAGGTCCCCTGCACCCAACCCCCACAACCACCCCATCCCAATCTATATATTCCCTAATGTTATGTTCACCTGAGTGGAAGTCAAGTGAAATAGCTTTCAACAAGAGGCCCATGGGCCACAGTGCTCACCTGAGTAACTGGCCTTGCTGTTTTTCACCTGATTTCTTCCCCCCCCCCCTGTAGTACTTATTGTGGCCCCACCCTATCCCCAGGGGTCATGATTTGAACAATTGGAATCTACACTACCCCAGGATGCTTCCAGATGAGTTTCAGCTTTTCTGGCCCAGTGGTTATTGAGAAGATTTTTAAAGATTTTTCCTATATATTTCAATGTAAAACTTGGATTCCCTATTGTGGCCCCGCCCTACCCCCGGGGGTCATGATTTGAACAATTTAGAATCTACACTACCCCAGCATGCTTCCACATAAGATTCAGCTTTTCTGGCCCAGTGGTTCTTGAGAAGAGGATTTTTAAAGATTTTTCCTATATATTTCAATGTAAAACTTGGATTCCCTATTGTGGCCCCGCCCTAACCCCGGGGTCATGATTTGAACAACTTAGAATCTACACTACCCCAGGATGCTTCCACTTAAGTTTCAGCTTTTCTGGCCCAGTGGTTCTTGAGAAGAAGATTTTTAAAGATTTTTCCTATATATTTCAATGTAAAACTTGGATTCCCTATTGTGGCCCCGCCCTACCCCCGGGGGTCATGATTTTTACAATTTAAAATCTACACCATCCCAGGATGCTTCCACATAAGTTTCAGCTTTTCTGGCTCAGTGGTTCTTGAGAAGAATATTTTTAAAGATTTTTCCTATATATTTCAATGTAAAACTTGTAATTCCTATTGTGGCCCCGCCCTACCCCGGGGGTCATGATTTTAACAATTTAGAATCTACACTACCCCAGGATGATTCCACATAAGTTTCAGCTTTTCTGGCTCAGTGGTTCTTGAGAAGATTTTTTAATGACCCCACCCTATTTTTGTCTTTTCTTGATTATCTCCCCTTGTAAGGGGACTTGGCCCTTTATTTTAACAATTTAAACTCCCCTTCACCCAAGGGTACTTTGTACCAAGTTTGGTTAAAATTGGCCCAGTGGTTCTTGAGAAGAAGTTGAAAATGTGAAAAGTTTACAGACGGACGGACGGACGACGGACAACGGGTGATCAGAAAAGCTCACTTGAGCTTTCAGCTCAGGTGAGCTAAAAACTGAAAGGTTTTATTTCGGTGTTAAACTTTGTTCCTCTGTAACCTCACCTCTTTGCCATGGACCATTATTTAAACATAATTGAATAGGCGCTAGATTTGGGATTACTAACATATTTCAAAATGATCAGGATAGGACTAAGAAGTACTTGGGAATGGGTCTGGACCCCCCCCCCCCCCAAAAAAAAAAATTAAATATGTTTAATCATCCGGAAAATACTGGTCAGATATACATGTAGCTAGCATCCGAGGCACGTCTGGTTCTGGACGTGTTCGTCCAGGAAGGGCATTCGGCTTAAATTTTGGAAATGGACAAGCTCCTACAACTATCTGTTAAAGCATCCAGAAAAATGTAGATCGAATGCTGTCTGGAAGTGTGCATTACTAAACGCACCATCAATGCAACTTTGGTCCATGTAGGTTTTAATATAATACTGTAGTTAATTCGGAATGGACTTGCTCCTAAAACCTAGGATGCCAATGTCGGGGGTATCAAGTTCATATTGACTTCGTCGCGATATGGGATTACGGTCATTAAAATACATTTTGCTTGTTTTCTCTCTCTCTCTCTCCCTCTCTCTCTTTTGAGGGGGAGGGGTTGAAGGGGAAGAGATGGTTAGAAAGCTCTTTTATATCACAAAGAGTTATAATAACTTTTTTTTAATCTAATCAATCTATACGTACTTTTTTGGTTATAGATGCTTCCTGGAGAACTTAATGAACTGATCACAGCATACCATGATTCTGGGGAGTCGGGTCACATTTTCTGAGGATCACATTGTCTTCCTTGTTGATCCTGCTTTAAAAGATAAAGAAACTTTATCCGTGAAATACAAATGTCTACAGCACGACAAGGAAAAAGTTGATAATGGAAAATCCCACTCACATTTCTGCCACAGTGTGATAAATAAGAAGGATATTATTATACGAACATGTAATTTACCCAAGGAGATGGGTGAACAAGGCGTGCATAATGCCTATAGCTTCAGATATGTAAAAATTACTTTCAACTTGTGAATTTATAGTATTTAGAGTAAAGTTATCTTTATTGAAATTTAGGAAATTATGATAAAAACTTTTCTGAGGAAAATTTTCTCGGCAAAAATTATTCTGTTATTAAAAAATAATGTGGTATTCCTGGGGTTCGAACCCTATCAATAAAAATCCTGAGTATCATTTTCCTTTTAGACTAACGCGCTAACCACTACGCTACACAGCTACATGTACGATGAAATACCGTAGTGGCATTTAAATCATGTCCCTTGACTAAATGGACTTTGGTATTTCTCGGAAAATGCGAATGTTGTGCCATAAAAGTGTATTTTTAAGGTATAGTGGGTCTTTGCTCCATGTTTTTGTTAACCAAAATATGTATATTTTTACGCAAACTTTGAGGATAAACTTTCAAAAAAATTGAGCGAAGACTCACTCATATCGAAAAATCGTGTTACAGTATGAGAAAATGATCCTTTTTGTCCTCCTTAGTGTGTGTATGCTATTTCATAGGCAAATAATTTCAATATTTGTGAGATAATTGTATATTTTGGAAATATCAAAGAAAATTCTGTTATAATTGAGATTTAATTTTTCACCTTCATGTTTGTCGCATTATAAGCACTTCGCTCGCCTTGTTCGCCAATCTTCTTTAAATTTCACTAACTGTATTCATATACAAAATTAATGTGTGTTAACAAAATAACATTTTTATTTATATCTGTACACAGACCCTGATGTAGTTAATGTCTTCATTTTTCGCATGAAATTACAATGATGTAGGTCTTAAATGCGTACATGTTCGTATATTTAATTTAGCCATTTTGTACATTAAGGCCAATGCTGGCTCTAAATAAAGAAAAATCTATAATATCTATATAACATGATTTTCTTTTCCTTAGGAACAACGTTCCCTGAAGTATTGCATGCTGAGGCAATTCATTGAAGAGAAAAAAAAAACAAACAAACAATAATTTATTAATTGTTATACACGTAGATGCTTACCGGTAGCTAAAATATTTTTTTAAATCGTTTATTGCGTGGACCCTGAGGTCCACGCAGAAAATATATTAGCGGAGTTAAACCGGATGCCATGGGCTTACGTCAGGCTACGCATGCGCGAGGATGCTAGAGAGTTCGCCTCAAAGACAACTTGCCCGTAGAACAATTCGCCCTCTTCAAATTAGAATAAAATCTGCACATCGTATTTATGTATTCTTTGGCGTAACCAAGATCTGAATTTCTCTTTAATACATATATCCTTATATACAAACTAAATTCTATGGTACAAGCATTTTAAATAAGTAGAACTTATAGAGATAGCTTAACAGCTTGAACATGCTGAATTAAAACCACTAGGTTTTAAAAGATAGTCTTTGCCATGTTTACCGGCATTAGTTTTGTGCATCAAGGTTTGCAAAATAATTTGATAGACAGCAATCCAAACACAGCTTGATAAAGGCCTGTAGCAATATTTTTCCATGTCGGGGAGAGGGAGAAACATCAAAAAAAATTCTGCGTACTACAGATCTGTGCTACACGTGTACCATCTATCTTTCCAAAGATAGGATACTTCCGTATAAATCTAGTACAGATGTCAAGTCCCAGCCGTTAAGCATTACATGTATCGAAATAGCCCGATTTTTTTCAGTTAAATGACGAAACTATAGGCCAATCGGGAATAAAATTTAACAACTTTGCTATGAAAGTACAATCACTCAAAGTAGGCAGATCATTGTAGAAAATGTTAACGAAAGGTAAACCTGTGCCATCTTTCAGAGTAACTATGAAAGTACAATCACTCAAAGTAGGCGGATCATTGTAGAAAATGTTAACGAAAGGTAAACCTGTGCCACCTTTCAGAGTAACCAATGAACTCGTCCATGGATGCACGGTCGTTGTAACAAGAATAGATATGGGTTACCCCATATCCAAAATATTCGACTTTTAATTTACTCCAATTTTCACAAGAAAAAAAACTGTACATGTTATGAAACTGGTGTATAGTTCTTCATGTCTGTAGCAAATACCGTCACCAGTCTAAGCGTCACTAGCAAACAGTACACACACCTGTGCTTGCAAGACCAAATAGCCTAGGTCTACATACGTGCGATAAGATTGTCAATCGCTTCTTCTCAGGCCTTCTGCCGAGAAGTTACGATTGGAGATGTTGTATATTAACCATTCCGTTATTTAAAAGAGACAGAGAAAAAACAAAACACACACAAAATTAATCTTTTTTTGTGTTTTTAAATTGATCGAGTTAATCGATAACTTAGCATTGTTTAAGATAACTCGAGCCCCCCTCCCCCACATACTACGGGACATTTTGAACCTTTCTCTTCATTGTTTAAAATATCCCCATAATATAAAGAGATAAATATTGTCCTTTAAAAAAAAATTAATATTTCTTAGGCAAAATCATCTTCGCTAGCCAAGGGTTTCTGATACGCTACTCTCCTCATAAGCTTATGAGGAGAGTAGCGTATCAGAAACCCTTGGCTAGCAAAGCTGAGGCAAAATTTGTACATGACAATTAATTGTCATGTAAAAATTTTGCATAAGAAATATCAAAATTTTTGTAAAGGATAATATTCTCTTATGGATACTCCCTTTCATGACTTTTTATGCATACTTCTTAAAGTTAGTTACTTTAGAAGATGGTCCAAAAATGGCATAGCCGTACGTTCGTTCGCTGGAATCTTCCGACGATATCAAAGTGAAATATTTCATGTTACATGTCGGGACCGGTATTGTGAAGGTACACGGAGGAAGCAATAAGCAAAACTCTATCTAGAGAGATTGAAGTATTTAATATTTTATTGGAAATACTTGATGTAAAAATATATATATATTACAGAATAAACATTCTCTCTCTCTTCCTCTTTCTGCAAAAATAAAGGGGGTTCCAACACCCGACCCCCCCCCCCCCCCCTGGATACGCCTATGGAGATTACGATACCTGCACGCTTAAGCCTCTTTTAATTCTGTTGTTAATTTTAAAGGCTAAATTATAATTGTGATAGATACCTAGATCAACATTTCATATTCATATCATTTCAAGGTCATGATTTTTCTTATCATTACAGCCTAATTAAGCAGACTCAAAGAACGATGAAAATTAGAAAAAAAGATTAAACTTAATTACACCTTTGTAAACTCACTAAATCTAGAAATTTTCTTTGAATTTCGTTTCGAAACACATGCATATGGTCCACGTATTGCAGTCCTTTTTTAAAGGACAGCAACTTGTTGTGTTAAACAGAAGGTTACCCCTACAAGTTTAAACCACCTCCCCTCCTTCAAAAAATGGAGAGAAAATAGTTTCTTTTGATATTTACGTAATCGGTATTTAACGATCGTCTTTGTCTGACATCAATGTAAACTTCAAATATTGAAAACTGTATAGAAAGAATCATTAATTATCAACTTTTTTGCCTGCTTATTTCGCAAATTGTTTATGAGATAGGATGCAGATGGATATTATACAACATAACAAATAGGGAAGAATCTAATATTTCTGAACTCTAATTCAGATTTCACTAACATTTCTCTTAGTATTCTTCTGACTTCATTTATTTCAAGATATATCAGTAATAAATCTATTTTTGTCTTTGTGTGTCTCCAAAATGTATAAATGTAAGAATCATCCAGAAAACATATCTACTAGCAAATAAACATGGAATTCAAAACCAAAGAAAGCCCCCATTCCAATCTACAAACTAAAGAAACCAACAACAAAGTGGATTTTGCTGACTTATAAGGTACTCAACTTCCGCTTTGTTACATTGTAGACAAGATCTTATGTCTTGGTGTCTTGGAATCCAGACTTTATGGTTACAGTCCAATTTTTCACTCAAATTTTGATTCACGTTATATTATGAAAAAGTACAAGGGTATAATTGTCGCCAGAGACAATACATGCATGAAACAAACTCGGGTATCTAGACTTAAAGTTTAAGATATCTTATTTACATGAATATTGATAGACCCCATGTGATGGCTTTCAAGTTCGACTGAATATTAAATTATTCAGTTAAAATGACAGCAGGATGAACCAGAATTTATCTGGCTACAGGTACATTATCAAATGACAAGTCAAGTTTCACTTCTATGCGCTACTACACAAGGTCAAATTTAAACTTTGGACCTAATGTTTTTTTCTCTCGTACTGGCTTCCAAAAATTTTTAGATGAAATTAAACTTAATTGCTGCAATCCACATTATCTGTTAACTTTATAATGCTTCATACATATGACCTACAATCGATCTTAGTTATGACTGTCTCACATTTGCTTCATACTATTGTCTCTAGACACCTAATGATAAAGGTACCCATCACTGATATGTTAAAAGTTTGGTAACCTTTAGTTATGAGGCTGAAGGGCAATCTGGGTCAAAAGTTTATCTATGAAAGATAACTTAGACCCTTATACACCACGGATTTTTCGTTAGTGCATATAAAGGGAGTTTTCACCTTGTCTGTAATTGATAAATATTTCAACAGATTATATATTAACCTTCAAACTATGTACAAAAGTTGAAAACAAAATAAATACCGCAGTTATTTTGACGTAAAAAAAAATATGACGATTTACTCTGAAAATCTGTACTTTGACTTGGAATATAAATAAATTTACTTCATCGATTTGATCTCCAAAATGAGGATTTTTTTTCTAAAAAATAGATTTTGACCTTGCTCACTTCAACAAATTAAACACGTGCACGTTCTACACAGTGGTATGTCACTTGTGATGATAAAATGCAAAATCGTGATGTATAAACATTGACAGAAAAAATGGAGGA